ATGAATAAATGTGATAGACTTTAGCCGTACACTTCTTTTTCTAATGCCGATAAACGAAGACTTCATTCATGATAATATCGAGCTCAATTGTTACTTAAACCATGTGACCGTATCATAATATTAATTGGTATTGATATCCGAAGTGTTCATTTTTGGGTCAAATAAAAAAATATTTTTAAATCCTCATAAATAATGACAATTTCAAATTAACGGTACACAAAGTTGCAACCCGAAATTATGAATCACAACGCAATATAACAGTTTTACATGTGCTGCACTAATAAGCCCAACAATGGGATTATTTAGGGAAACGGTTATTTGACATAAGACACGAATCCCACCAGCCTAGCTTGCACAACCTTGCGAAGGTATTCCTGACTGGCCTTCTGGATGAACGACTGTATTGGGAGAAAACAGAAGGTTGAGGAGGGTGTGGGGGAAAGCCGCAGGCACAGGAGGGGAAATCATTGGGGGTAGTCTGGAGCATGGGAGAGAAAACTAGAGATGTTGCAGTCGCACTCGGTAGCAGTAGCGCTACTCCCGGCGACAGATACGCATCTCTCGCCGCCACTCTCGGCGGCAGAGCTGAAGGCACAAGGACATGGCTGCGGCGACCCATCGTCCGCACGCATTTACGCGACGAGGTGCAGTCGAGTGAGTTACAACAATGAAGTGTCGAAGAACCGTGGCGACACTTTCTGGAGTAGGGACTAGAAGGGAACGCGAAGAACGGTTAACGAAAAAACGAGTGAGAATCGGCAAAGCAGGAAACAACAAAGGCAATAAAACCCGTCGTAAAGAGGCAGAAAGCGCTGAAAATACGAGCCGAGCCATTGAACAGGTACGACGGATAGGACGTCGGCGTAACAAAAAGGCCAATAGGAACAACAAGAATGTTTGATACGAAAATTCCAAACAACGATGAAATAACAAGGGAACTTATCAGCGCACCTCTCAGCAAAATTCCAGAATCATCTGCAAACACACTCGCATCGGTTCACACACTGTCAATGTTGCGCAGGAAGACCAACAGTTGGCAGCAAGGGCGAAATAATAGAAGCAGAAGACTGAAGACTAAGGACCCGAGACACAGCCATCGAACACCAAAGGCAAGGTGACTGAAAACCAACGGGTGTAAATCTAGAGGAAGAGGGAGCACAAGATGGCTCTCTGTCGTCAAGGAATGACTGTGGCTTGGGGCAGTTGAGTGCAATGCCTTGCATTGCTGTCATTTTGTCGTTTCGTGGTTAGTTTCATGTTCAAACCTTTTTTTTCACAACTGTACTGGGAAGAAACAAGTACTGATTTCGAGAAAAGCAGAGGTGCAACGCACGGTGGAATGAAGTACAGTGGAATCTGGTGGAAAAAAAAAAAAACAAAGCTTCACCCAACAATCGCGCGTGCAGCGAAACGTTCAAATGCGACAAACTACCCAATCAGCAGCAGCTTTCGCGCAAATTCGAGAATCGAGTCGAATCCCACGAAAGCACAAGTTGCAGCGACTGTGCAGCACGCGACAAGCGACGCGCCTGTCACATGCTGTAATGACCAAAAGCCGAGGTACCTTCTATCTGCCCGTAGAGTTGTTTATTTCTCTACAGTGTTGTCATATCGCGCTTCCCCAGAAACAGCGACACAATTTTCCAAACATTCTCCTTAACCGAAGGATACCAGAACAGTTGCAAAAAATCTTGGAATAAAATAATGCAAGTGACACGTCACCCTAGTGCTAGTGTACAGTCCCACACATGTCGTTGCTGGCAGCCAGTTGTACATCCGCCGCACTGAAAACCGAAAACCGGTCCCATAGTGACAGCATTTCCCACTTGTCAAACACCTGTGCTTTGCTGTTCCTCTTCCCCAGAATAGGACGAGAAGAATGCAATGCGTGAGTGTCAGATGCAGTTGAACACTAACTTTCATACAACCTGGCTGCTTAAAACTATTACATTACAGAATCTCATACAAATAGATGTCAAAAATGGCAACGAGATATTTGGCTTTGTCAATTTTGATGTTTTGTGTTTTATATGTATGAAACCCCTATAATGATGTTAAAAATACCTTAACACATCTTATTGAGGATTGAAACACTCTACTTGGCCTTTTTTTTCCCCCAAATGCACGAAAAATGGCTTATAGCCACCATATTTATGTGTAAAACCAATTGAGATAAGGTTTTCCAGCCTCCCCTAGGCCTACTCAACCAAATGGATAGAAAATAAAATCATTAGACTACTTAAAAAAAAACTTGAAACTTCATCATGTAACATCCATGTCTCTACTCAAACGGTTTTACCTCATTTGATAATCATTACAGCGTCACTCATAATGGTGTCATTAGAATGACACCTAAATGGGTTCAGACCCTTCTCATGTCATTATTAACTCAGTGGTATGGTATAGAGAAACATTGGAAAATAAAAAAACTACGCAACGTCGAAACGACATTGTTTGCCGCCATACGACAGATATACAGTTAGGTTGACAAAGTGACGAAAAATCTGTGACAAACCCTTTTGATATCATTTGTGACAAAGTGACGCAAATAGCCCTTGCAAAACAAAGAAACACAGCATCAAAATGGCATGGTGAGCTGGTATCTTCTGCAATTAGGTGTTGGTATTTTTTTTTTTGTAACGAATTTAACGCCTCATTGATCACAACAAACAACTGCTCTTGTTACACATGTAATTCAAACTACTGGAATAGTTGGGTGCCAAATATTACCTAAATATGCATGTCTAAACATTCAAGGCTGTTTACAACTCAAAGGCAGATTACACAAACAATTTCCATCAATTAATTTCTTCTAAAACTGTAACGGAGAAGATCTTCAGCGGATCAAGCCCACTCAGTGTGCCAAGCCCTCGCTACCAGCTGCTTCCTGGAAGTACATCGAAACCCTCCCATTCTTACAGGGCAGTAAGTTTGAATCGAACGACCAATAGCAATCGCTCGAATGGTTTTGCAGAAGTTTCCTAGAAGAATTCAAAATGGTTCGACCAATAATATCGCTCGCGAGGGTGGTGTCGAAATTTCTGTGATGCTGCACCCCTCTGATTCCCGAGTCGCGGTACCATTAAAGCAACCTGCACGTAGGTTCAGGCAAGTTACTCTCTCGCAAACCCTGAAAAACATGCCACCCCGACCTCACACATTTTGCGATGCCCCCTGTCCCATTAGCACTCCAGCGACATAGGCTGGTTATCAAGACCTCATCTCATCTCCCCCCCTGTCCCATTAACACCCCAGCGACATAGGTTGGTATCTTGACTTCACATAAAAACTCCACCTCCTTTTCCAAACTCTCCCCTTCAGGTCCCACAGCGCCGACAAAAACTGGCCCACTTTGCTTGACAAGACCTCTCTTTCCCTCTTATCCTCCCATTGTCTCCCCCCCCCCCCTCCATAACCAGCTGGAGCAAACAACTTGTTCGATTCCAGTCTTCTAGCTGTTTGCTGTTTCCAACACACATTGGCTGTTTGCTGCCAATGTTGACTGGCTCTTTGATTAGAGCCCTCAAGCACCCCTTCCCCATGCTCATCTAATCCTCAACTCTATCGACCACCTTACTCCAAACATACGCAATCGTTGAAAACAAGTCACTCTTCTTTGCATTCCTAGCGGCCTTAAGTTCCTCTCTCCCCATCACACTATTCCCTCTCCTTCACTTCCACCTTGACCTTGCCCTATTCCTGGGTCTTAGTTTTGGTATAGCCTCCGGCTAGCGCTGAAGGTAGTAAATGCTTGGAAAGCGCTTCATTTCCTTCCACTTGCGTCCCTCGGGCTGCAACACTCTCTGCCCAAGAAAGCTTGCAGCGTAGGCCACATCAACCCGTGTGCATGACACCGGGTACATGACTGAGCCTACCATGGATTGGTAAGCTTTGAGCGCTTTCTCCTTGTTGCCCCATGCTTCAATCTCTGCTCCCACATCGACCTCCTTGTCCGCAAGGCTGCTGAGAGGTGTTGTCACTGGTTTGGTCTTGCATTGACCTCCAAACCTCTCCCGCAACCTCTGAAAGTACTTCTTCTGGTATAGCAGCAACTTCTTCTCCTCCTTGTTCCTCTCTATGTTCATTCCAAGGAAGAGAGTAGTCCTTGGGATCTTCTTCACCTGAAATACAGCTATGAGGTGAGTGCACACCTCCTCCACCTTCTCTTCCTTTGCTCCAGCCACTAGGATATCATCCACGTAGAGGAGTAGGAACACCTTGTTCTCCCCCTCTCCCTTCCAGTAGAATGCACGGTCACATTGGCTCTTGATGAACCCCCCTTTTTCCAGCTGCGCATCCATAGCTAGGTACCACTCCCGTGGGCTTTGTTTCAGCCCATAAAGTGCTTTGATGAGTTTGCACTTTCTGTTCGTGCCGTCCTCACACCCCGGTGGCTGATTCATGTAGATAGTCTCCTTCAAAATGCCATAGAGAAAAGCATTTTTAATGTCCAGCTGCACCATGAAGTACCCGCGTGCCGTCACCACCTTAAGCATGGTCCTTGCCGTTGTTAACTTGCTAACGGGTGCGTAGAGTTGGTCGTAGTCCTCTCCTTCCACTTGAGTGTAGCCTTTAGCCACAAGACGTGCCTTGAAGCGTTCAAGTTGTCCCATGTCTGCCGTTTTGATCTTGAAAATCCAGCGCACTCCCACTGCTTTCCTCCCCTCGGGCATGTTCACAAGTTCCCATGTCCCCCTTTCAGCCAAGGTATCAAGTTCTTCCTGGATTGCAGCCCTCCATTGCTCCTTGTTCGGTCCGGACAGTGCCTCTTCAATAGTGAGAGGCTCGGTGGGCAGCTTGTAGCTTTCCACCTTCCCCTTTGATAGAAGTGCCGTTGCCGTAGTGGTAAGGAGGAGGTGGGTGTGAATGTCCTTGCAGCAGGTCAGAAGCATTTGGGCATACTTGGGATTGGGTTTCTTGACTCGTTTCCCTTTCCCCATCTCCTGATTCTCATTTTCAGCTCCACTTTTCTCTGCTGCTGCATTATCATCCGCTCCTTGTTACACGGAATCTCCTTCAATCTCCCTTCCAATGACGATCGCACCGTCCGAAAGTAGGTCTTCAATCTCTACTGCCGCCTTTTCATTGTCCCCCATGTCAATGATGCGCCATGGGTCGGAGTACCCCGTGCTGGCAGATTCAGCCACACTCTCTTCCACATCTGAAATTTCAGCTTCTTCCTCACCGGCTTCATTCGTTGCGTTGTCACCCGCTTCTTCTCCCTTATCATTTTCTTCTTCACCCTCTTCCACGGCAGTTGAAGGTGAGGACAACTCCTGCACCTCCCATACCCAGTCGAAGCCCGGTGTAGTGTGGTCTTCGTAGTCGTCATTGTCACCGCTTCCATTGGCTGCCCCTATCCCTTCCTTCTCACTCCCATCTATCATCTCCTCCAGTGGAGTTGGTGCTGCTGCCGCTTCCTTTGCAACAGCTCCTTGTTTCCATCCCTTCCACTCCAAGTAGGTGTCTTGCTCGTAGAAGGTAACATCTTTGGTCGCCGTGAATTTTCCGGTCTCCACATCGCGTATCACCCACCCTTTGCTCTCCGGGCAGATTCCCAAGTGAATCCCCCACTTGGTCCTTGGGAGAAGCTTATGGTCGGGTCCCGTCGCCTCAAGGTACTGCACCATGCAGCCCCAAACACGTAAGAACTCCAGATTCGGCTTCCTCTTGTAGAACGCTTCGTGAGGGGTAATATCCGCCGCTAGTCCCTTTGTCGGTAAACGGTTTTTCAGCCAACATGCCATGCCTATCGCATCTCCCCAGTAGTGAAGAGGCAGGTTGCTATCCGCGAGCAAGCTCCTCACACCTTCCAGCAGTGATCGGTTCACTCGCTCCGCAATGCTATTGTGTTGAGGTGTGTACGGGACCGTGAGCTGTCTTCGTATGCCCTTTGACTTCAGGTACGCGTTGAACTCGGCGTTGACAAATTCTCCCCCGTTGTCCGTGCGTAACACCTTCAGCTTCTTGCTGCTTTGCCTTTCCGCTTCCGTTTGCCAATCAAGAAAGCTCGTGAGGACTTCCGACTTGTTCTTGATCTCAGTCACCCACGTGTGTCGTGTGCCAAGGTCGGTGAAGGTAACGAAATACTTGCTGCCATGTCGTGAAGCCACCCGCATCGGTCCACATACGTCGGCTGCCACAATGGCCATTGTCTCGTATGGCTCACGGACTCCATGCTTGGGATGTGGTGCCTTTGTCGCCTTTGCCTCCACGCATATGCTGCACTTCAGATTTTCCTCTCCACCCTCAGGTACCTTCACTCCCGCTGCCATGTTCTTCTTGATCAGCTCCTTGATTCGATAATGACCAGCGTGCCCCATCCTCCTATGCAGCAGGTTGACGTCCACCGTGCTCACTGCTGCTGCCATAGGAAGCGCCTGCTGCTGCAACTCCTTGATCGGCATCCTTTCGAACTTGGTGCGGAGCTCATCTCGTGCCACCTTACCCGCTTCCGGTTCAGCCAGGTACGTGACCTTGTCCCCACTCTGTTTCTTGTGCAGCTTCATCTCGTACAGCCCTTGCTTGCGTGATCCCTCCGCTATTACCTTCCAATCCGCTCCAAAGACCCATATGCTCCCCTTGTCGCTGAAAGTTTTGCATCCACCACTATCCAGCTGCGATTTGCTAATGAGGTTGAGCGTGAGCTTGTCCACTAGCAGCACGTTGTCCAACTTCACCTCACCATAAGCACTTTGCAGCACTAGGTCTCCTTCCCCTTTCACAGGAAGTTTCCCCTCGTCTCCCAACAGCACATACGGTATCGGTGATGCTCTGAAATTTCTCAGCCACTCCTTCTGGTTCGTCATGTGTTGGGTACAACCGCTGTCCATGTACCACTCCTTCCTCTTAAGGCCCTTCGCAAGCAGGCATGCTCCCGAAGCTCTTGCAACATTGGCCTTGTGGGCTCCCCCGAGGATGACGTCGTCGTCGCTGGTTTCCGCTTCGGTGGCGTTGATCTTCGCAGGTACGTGATTCTTTTGCTGCTGCTGCCCTGCCTTGAAGCTCTCGCTCATCGGGTTGCTGTAGCAGTCGATTGCCTTATGACCAAATTTCCCGCAGTGGTTGCAGTTTCCAGCAAATCCACCTCTCGGCCTCTGTCCTTCTCCGGTTGCTCCTGCTCCCTTTCCTCTGAAATTCTTGCTTCTTGGGTTGGAGTAACACTCGACAGCCTTGTGCCCTTTCTTCTCACAGTGGAAGCAATTTCCAAATGATTTTCCTGCCCCGGTTGCGTTCAACATGGCAGGTGTGTCGTTGCTAAAATTTTCCGGCAGCGCCTCCCTTCGCTCTTCCTCTGCACGTATAAGCGCAACGTCTTGAAGGGACTCCACCACGTCCGTCATGTCCGTCGGGCATCTGCAGGCCAGCATCCGCTTCTCTGCTGCCCATGATTTCGGTAGGCCGCCAATGATGTAGCTCATCATTTGCTTCTCCGATTCGGGCACTCCCATAGCTGTCAGGTCGTCGTTGTAGCCTTTAGCACGGCCCACGTAGTCCACTACCGTCTCGGAAGGTTCCATGGCCAGCAATATGAGTTTCGTCCTCACTGCTGTCATCTTTGCCTCGCTTTTCCCGAGGTACACTCGTTCCATGTACGCCCACGCCTTCTCTGCTGCGTTGTCCTCCTCAGAGAACGGGTCGAGTCGTGCTGCGATTGAATCCGAGACCGAATGGCAGTGTTGAAAGAAAGCTTGTTGGCTTCTTTTCTTGAACGCTTTTTTCTCTTGTGCGGTTGCAGGTGCAGGTCCATCTTCCTCCGTCGCTGCCTCTGGGTTGTAGAAATACCACAAATCTACCTCCCGGGCGCGTCGCATAAACTTCAGCCGCCATGTGCCGTAGTTCTCTCCATTGAAGCGTTGAGCTTCACTTAGGCCAATTGTCGGTTTGGCCACGATTTGCCCCTTAGCAAGGGCATCAAGCAGACTCTGCAGCTGCGCACTCCCAGTGTTCACGGAAGACCCTGAACTGGCCTCTCCATCTCCATTCCCCATGTCGTTGAATTTCCGTCCTCTCCAATTACTCTAAAAATTATAACTCCTCCAACACTTTTATAATAAGGCTTGTCGCGACGATAACCAAGCTCTGATACCAGCTCTTAGTTTTGGTATAGCCTCCGGCTAGCGTTGAAGGTAGTAAATGATCGGAAAGAATTTCTGGTTTTTCAGGACTGATTTCACTCAAAACAGAGAAGTACAAAGAACTGATTGAAAACAAACACATTTAGGCATTTCGAAATGTGATGTGCACCTCGCGTAACGCGTCATCCGCGTTTCAGCCCGAGTCGCATGCGGAACCGATTTCGGTAACCGACACCGGGACAAAACATGGTTGTCTCATTCGCACCGAACACGGTTCGGTTGCGGTTGGACATTTTAGGTTACGGAAATGTCTTCTCCACATTTCCTGAAACCCACTCTCCCACCATTCCGTTTTTCCCGCTTTCTTCTCGCCTTCCCTCCTTAGCTCCTTAGCATGCAGCCCCACCATTATAGCTGTCGGTTCTCCTCATTAGGTCGACATTTCCCACCGTTCATAGTGTCGTGCTACCATCCCTAGGTGAAGTGCGTAGGTCGGTAGGCACTAGGGCAGTGGTGAACCACCCTAACACTGGGGACGAGTGGTTCTTCTCTGATTCACCACTCATTCCTCTACTGCCCTCCTCTCTCCGTCTGCACCACTCCCAGCCAGAGAAACATGCCCAATATCTGGAGATGGCGAATGGTTCTTTGTCGCATCCCGTGACCCCAATCTAGTCTCTTCCGCTCTCTTCTCTCCCTCTTTCACCTTTCCCTCTCCTCCACTCCCAGCCAAAGCAGTGTGGCCTATTCCTGGTGACGGCGAGTGGTTCTTTTTCACATCCCACGACCTCAATCTAGCCCTTTCTACTCTCTCCTCTCCCTCATTCACCATTCCCTCTACTCCACTCCCAGCCAAAGCAGTGTGCCCTATTCCAGGCGGCGGCGAGTGGTTCTTCTTCACGTCCCGTGACCTCAAGTACCCATCAGGGTGTCAATCCAACCGATCCACAACCGCTGGGTACTGGAAGGCCACTGGGAAGGGCAAGCCAGTGCACGTGCGGTTCCCCGGCAGCAGCGGTATTAACGACGGAAAAAGGGTGCAGACAGTCATAGCGGTTTTGAAAAGAACTCATGTCTTCTACATGTGAGTTCAGTGCTGCAATTTCTCCGCACTCCTCATGTAGAGATCAGGTGTTCAGGTTGTGTGGTTGAGTCTCTAGACTGCTTTCTCTGGTCTTATGTTGACTTGTTAAAGTTTTTTTTTTGGGGGGGGGGGTTTAGAAAGATTGTTTGTTTCTTTGGAGAATCAGTTTGGCGGCTAAATTTCTCTTCATTCATATAACAATTCTTCCAAATCCTTGTTTGTTTATGGAATACGGGATGAGCATCAGGAGGGGACAAGACCGGGCTTGGAATGAAATGTTCAGGTCTTTGGACCATGTTTGAGTGGTTAAAACACTCTTCATTATGTCGTCCGTTTTTTTTTTTTTTTTTTTTTTTTTTTTTTTTTTTTTTTGTCGTTTTTCTGGCGTGGCACAGGGGCCGAGCGCCAGGAGGGGACAAGACAGACTGGTTCATGCATGAGTACCGGCTGGCAGATGATTCGCCTGTAGCTGGACCGGCTGCTACAGCCGCGGCACACGCTATAGCTGCAGAAAGCGAATCGAACCCAGCAGCTACAGCTGCTACTACCCCCAAAGGGACCTCGGCTGGTGCAGATGCAGCAGGTGGTACTGCTGTAGGCCGAGCCAGCAGCAGAAAAAGTGAAGCGATAAACCCAGACACCAGCGGTGCGGCGGATGGAAGTGGAGATCTAAGAGGTGGGTCAGGCAGGAATAGCATCACGAGCAGTCCTAAAGCCAGCAGTCCAAAGTCCGAACCTGGGAGCGGTCGAAGAATCGGCAGGACGTGGGTGGTTGTGAGAGTGCTCAAGCGAAGCTCCCTGACAGAGGAGGAGCAAGAACTGGTGGTGGCAAAGCAGGCTGTGGTAGCACAGGTGATGGTGAAAGACCGGAATGAGATGGTGGAACAGCAGACGATGGTGATGCAGCAGCAGTGTGGGGCTCCTTCACCCAAAGGAAAACCAGAGAGGGATGAAGAGGCACCAGTGGTAGGGCACCACGCGGGTTTATCAGTGCATGGCGTGCACTGTAGCGGTGATTCACCCTCACTAAATTCTCCGCAGAGTAACTCCCCATCTACCCTCGCGAGCAGCCTGTCCCCTAACTCCTCTTGGTGCGCAATGCCTGTGGATGTGCCGAGCAGCGTTGTGGCAAACCGAGAAGCAGCTGTAGGTGCAATGACGCCTGTAGGTCCAGAGGAGGAAGACGCATCAATAGTGGCAAAGGTGGCAAAAACAGGAGCAGCAGAGAAAGAAGCACTCGAAGCAGCTCCAGTGAAGGTAGAAGGAACATGAGCAGCAGTGGGAGCAGACTAGCAAAGCAGCACCTCAGCAGACAATCAGACGAAAAGCAGCAGACAAGCAGGGGAGTTCTTGAAGGGTCCGCTCTGCCCGGAGAACTTGCCATCTTCCAAGCACTATCTGTTTGAATTGAAGCCGCCTGGAAGCGGCAGGATTGATGGTGGTGTGGACGGTGGGAATGGAATGGGAGAGCAGCAACAAACGGAAGAAGAGCAGCAGACGCGAAAGGAGCAGAAGAAGCAGAAAATGGCGGAAAAACTAGACTGGAGGGTAGAACTGGACTGTAGACAAGAGGACGGGCAGAAGGAGCAGGAGAAGGGTGACTGAGAGCAGGAAGAACATAAGCAAACAACCAGCAAGAAAACGAACTGGCAGAAGCTGACAAGCAGGCAGGCGCAGCAGGTTATCACTCCCCAGCTAGTCCCCCAACAGCAGAGGGCTCTACGGCAAGAAGGGGCGACCGGTGCAGCTTCTTCTACTACTGCTGATAATACGGCTGCTGCAGCTGCTGCTGGTACTGCTGTTGCTGCTGATGCTGCTGTTGCTGCTGGTACTGCTGGTGCTGCTAGTTCAGGTGAAGAAGGGGACAGGTCAGCAGATCCAGATATCCGTGTTGAGGATCTGCAAGAGCCAGGGGAGGAAATCTGGGTACCAGGACCAGCAACGCCAGCAGCCGCAGAAGGGGGATGAGAAGCAGCAGCAGGAGCAGCAGGAGCATGATGAATACACCCCCTTACATGCAGCTGTAGCACCCTCTGTTGCACCCTCTGCAGCACCTTCTGTAGCACCCTTCGCAGCACCCGCGACAGCATCCTTGTGGGTAAAAAGGCACAAAGGACAGCAAGGGGGGAAATCTGAGTACCAGGTCCAGGAACGGCAGCAGCAGAAGAAGGAGGAGGAGAAGCAACGTCAGCAGCAGCAGCAGCAGAAGCAGCAGCAGCAGCAGCAGCAGCAGCAGCAGCAGCAGCAGCAGCAGCAGCAGCAGCAGCAGCAGCAGCAGCAGCTGCAGCAGCATGCTGAACTCCACCAGCATCAAACACTTCAACTGCAGAGACTCAGTCCTGATAAGCAGAAGCAGCAACACCATACAGCAGAAGAAGACTCCAAATGTAAGCAAGCCCATGTGGATGAGCCCAGGGCCGATTACCCATGGCTAAGGGCTCAGGAGCACATGCCTCATCAGCAAGGAATGATTCCTGATCTTCCATGGCAGAGAAGTGTTTCTTGTCCCGCTGTCTCTCTACCACTTCAGGCACTAAGTCAAGGCGCCAACCAGTATGAAACGCCCTTCCGCACCTCCCACAGCCTAGAGTATCACCAATCCCAGTCGATGCATGAAGAGCTGGAGGGACAGGGAAGGTTGTATGGGAGGTATTTTAGCGACCTGCTGCATACCAGTGTGTGGGAGATCAGAGAAACGGAGGTGGCCGGAGAAGGGATGGAAGGTGAGAGGATGGAACAGTGGGGTGGCTTGGAGGGAATGACCCGTAGCAGCAGCTGGGGCGCAGGAGCACATGGTTTGGGGATGGATCATGGAGAAGAAAGCTTGACAGCAGGTGTGGGAGTTGGAGCAGTAGGAGTAGAAGGAGCAGGGGTAGAAGCAGCTGGTTCGGGAATGGCAGTGTCAGCAGTGAGAGATGCAGCTGCAGTGGTGGCGACAGTGGGTGTGGGATTTGCAGCAGCAGGGGCAGCTATGAGAGCAAGAGAAGGAGGAGAAGGAGGAGATGATATGATGACATCGGTAAATGGGATGGAACTGGAGGAGCTGGATGCACTTCTACTAGATGTGGATGAGGACGACAACATGGAAATCAGCAGCAGCATGGTCAGTGGGTTCAGCCACCACTCCAGTACCAGCATAGACTGCCGCGCCGCGCTCCCCGTTGACTCTGGTGTTCCACCCAGCGACGGTCAAAACAGCTGCAACGGTCATGGTAGCACCACGATTCTGACACATGCTGGCGACACAAGTGCAGGTGAACTCATGGGATCATTCACAGGACTGACACCGCTGTGGGACTGCCACCATCCATGGCGCTGGGGTCGTCAGTGGGACATGGATTGCCCATGTTCTCGCCAGTGCATGGTGGTTCTAGAGGGAGATTCGCATCAGAAAAGGATGTAGCTGTGGCCATGGCCACTTATCACACTGTGAACAACACGGGTAGCAGTGACTGTGACTGGATGTGGCTAAGGGTGCAAGACACTCTACTGCTGCCAGAGCCAATCTTTTTAACGCCAGCAGCAGAAACAGCAGCTTTGGCAGCTGCACCCGCAGCAGAACCACCACCAGCAGCAGCATAATCAGGAGAAGAAGCAGGAGGAACCGATACAGAAGCAGCCACTACAGGAACGATTGTCCCTGTATCAGGGGGACCAGAAATTTGGAATCGTGGTTTGAGCAGCAGCCAGGGCACTGTAAGGATGCTTTCTCTTGAAAGGAGTCATGAAGAGGACTGCTGTCCTGCTGCAGACAGCTTTTTGACATGGGGGGTTGTGTTCTTATGGTAGTGTGCATTGGATGGTGACAGCTGGCTCAGATTGAATGGTTAGATTGGATGCATGACGAGGGGGGCGAATATATTTTAACAAGGATTAGCTGAGGACAGATGTACGGAGGGGGGGGAGGGGGGGGGGAGAAAGGGGGCTGGTCTGGATTGCCAGGGAATTAATGTTTATGCTTTGAGTTACTCCTATTCTCATTCTGAGACAGAAAGGATTCGTGAGCTCAGGTTGAGCAGGAGCAAGAAGAGGGGATGGAAGATGTTGTACTGAAAGTCGACTCAAGAACCATCTAGAGACAAGCCAAAGAAAGTGCCCATTTAAGGTGGGGTGCTGCGGTAGCAGGGTTGGAGATAACTGGTCGTAATGCTGATTTTAAATTAAAAGGGTTGGCGGAAATCATTCCTCCTCTTGCTTTTGTTCCTCCTCCCGCCTAGGTGTTCTCTTGTCCTTGCTGCCCTCACTCCAGCAATGCCCTAAGCTCCCTGGGCATCCTCCCTGTCTTCCTTCCATCACTATCCACTTACAAGTATCCTCTCCCGTCTCAGCAGTGGGAGAGGCCTCTATGGGCCAGCTCGGCTGGCTCTCCCTTGTCACTGCTCTGTGCCAAATGCTTGGGGGTTCGGCTCCACCTGGCTGGTTACTGGTTGTTTGCTAGTCTCAATTACAGCTTGGTTGCGAAAACAAACACAGAAGCAAAAATCACCTCCTAGCCTATTGCTTAAGTAGCTTATGGCAGTGGCTACCGTTGTGCTGCGATGGTGCCTTTACATAGCCAAAGGATCCCATTCTCCTGCTTGATACTTTGAGTTATCCCTTTGCCTCGCTACAGTTCCGTCAGGTACTTCTTAATGTCCTGATTTTATATTTCTATGTCTAAGTTGGAATTAAAAGCATGACAAGGTTCAATTCTGTCCTAGGAATGTCATTGCTAAATAGAACAGAACAATATGATAAATTGCACTGAAAGTGCAGAGGCATGGCCCGGTCACGGATTGTGGTCGTCAGATGCAAGAGAAGGCGTACTTTGGCCAGTCTCCACTCTAAATGCAACTTCGTGTTTCCTTCCCCGTGAGCCCCCACCAGCCTACCATCACAACAAGGACGACGTGTGGCTTACTAGCGTTTCTTTCGTGGTGTTGAGCCGGTTTGTGCCTAATCCACATCATCTGTGTAGCAGACAACCTGGGGGCTCACACAAGCGAGCGATTGCTCGGTATAGAACAGAACCCTAAAGCATGCAGCGTACCACTGCAAGAAAATGATAATCACTAGCGCCACTTCCTCTGTTTTTGGGAGATGGTTTATGAGGGGAATTACCTGCATCATGCGCCAAGAACGATGTCCATGTGGCGAAGTAAGCTGTGGCACTTGGGGTACACACCACGGAAGGCGGGGTCTGATCACGGATATTGGTGTGTTGTCTGTGGTGATAACATGGTTAGGGAATTATGGGAGAACATACGTGGGTCATTCAAGTTAGCCCACAACTCGGAGCTGAACCTCGCCGAAATGCCTGACATCGCCCTGGAGTTTGGCGGCGGACTATGTCGCTGCGTCTGGTCGGGTACACGGACGCCAACAACATCGGTGACAAGCAAACGAGCAGTAGAACGAATGGCTACGTCTTTATCTTTGGTGGGGCCGCCGCTTCCTGGATGAGTCAGCATATCAAGTGCGTGACTCTGTCGTCGACGGAGTCGGAGTACATCGCGTCTACGGAAATCGGCAAGAAATGTCTCCGCCTTTGCTTTCTCCTCACCGAGTTCCAGTTGCTCGACACTGGAATGCCGGTCGTCTTGAACGTGGTCAACCAGTTGGCTATCGTGGTCGCCGAAGGCTTGGGGCTGAAGGGCAACATCAAGAACATGGAGCGACGCAATTCTGGCTGTAGCAAATGGTGGAGTGCAAGAAGGTTGTGCTGCAACACATCTTGGCAAAGCATGTTCTGGGTGGACCTCGTGTATGTGTGCCCAATCGTGTGCTGGGCAGGGGAGTGTTGATGAGAAATAGTCCCGCCCTCGTTTGGGCGAAGCCGGCCTTGCAGTCGGGTGTTCACCCGGCAACCTGCAGTGGTTGACGTCAACTTTGGAAAGGTAGTTGATAGAGGACGCCAAACTCCTCTATGGGACCACTGTGAAGTCAGCGGACGGCTTCGGCCTAGGCGGTCGACGGGGAAGTTTGTCGACCTACGGGCGTTGGCCAACTACCAGGTTGGCGCCAACTTTGGGGCTTCATCGGTCGACCAAGTAACCAGAGTGACGAAGTTTTGCAGGGTGCGCGAACATTGTTATGGAGGCTTTGGCGAAGTCGGCCTGCGGCCTGGTATCCCAAGGTTTGACATGGTGCATCGGGCGCAACTGACGGCACATGGCCGATTTGGCATCCGCGTGATGCGTGTAACGGTGCACAACGCGCTCGATCGTCAACATGTATGTGCGCACATGTTTGTAAAGTCACTTGCGGGTGCAACGCTGGTAGGCCGCCCTGCTGCAGCGTTGGCAAGCCGCCTCAGTGCAATGCTGGCAGGTCACCGCGTTGCAGTGATGTCAAACTACCTTTATGTCAGAGGTCCAATGGTGATCCCCGATTGATCCTAGGGAAGGGTTACATGCATGTTGGCATGGGGGGTTATGGGCGCACTGACCCGCTACTTAAGCCCTTTTATCCCAATGGTCTAGTGGTTGGGATTCTGACACTTTATGCTGCGTTGGCACGTCCCCGACTTGCCGTGCTGGCGGGCTGCCCTCGTGCTGAGTTAGAAGTTGACCAGCCTAGTAGTCACATTTTGCCATTGCTAGTCAAACTCTTGGCAATGTGTCATG